TTAAGTTACTGATCTCAGTTTTGTGTTATGTGCAGCAAGTTCACTTCCAATTGATACGGCCTTTTGCCTCAGATCTGCTTCCTGTAACACAGAAGTTTTCAGATTCTATGAAAAGGTATTGAGTGAATTGAAGGCTCTGTTAAGGGGGCAGCTATCTCCCCTCCCCATTCTCCTATCAGCCCGTAAAACAGGAACTGACAACCTCTTGGAAGAACTGGGAAGAAGCTTTTCGACTTTCTTGGTACAATCTTCACTGGTTCCTCTCTGTGAGAGGAGGAGGGAAATCTTGGGTTGGTGCAGTTGGGAAAAGGGTATGAAGTGTGCATGGCTCAGCCTGTTCCTGGCTCTCTCTCTGGGACTGACCTGACTGCAAGCAGCATGTTCTCTCTCTGCTCCTGCCTCCTCCAGGCAACGAGCACCAGGGCGGGTCCAGCCCCTGCTTGGGAGGACTTCAATAGTCCAGCTGCTCTGCCGCGAGTGGGTGAGTGAGTTCAAGTCAGGGGAGAAGACACAGAAAGCTCATTTGGGCCTTGGGTCTTAGCCACATCCTCCAGTCCATCTGGACTAGCAATAAAGCTGACATTTTAATCCCTACTTGTCTCCTGTGACTATTTCTCAATTGGATCAGACCTCGGAGAAGTGAGGGGTGTGATTAACTAGCACCCGCAAACCCCCAACATCTGTTGAATATCTAGCCCCAGTGGGAAAAGCCAAAGTTAGATGAAAACACTGGTTTAACATTCTGGTAATTATTAGACAATATTTCTTTATCCTTGTTCGTATGTCTTTTGATCTTACTATAAAATGTGTGTCACGTGGGTTTTTTAATTTTTACATTTTCTTTTGAAGATAAGAGCCTGGATTGAGAGCGATAAGTCTCTTCTGAGTCTTGGCTACCACTCACTTTCTCTGTTCCTTGACTTCTCTGGGCTTCAATTTTACCAATTATATAAAATGACAAGGTTAGACTAGATAATCCATCAGGGCCATCCCAAGCTTCGGTGTTCTTTCATTCATTCGACCCCATTTTTATTGAGTATGTGTTGAGTGCGTGCTGGAGGCTGACTCTGTGATGTACGAAACAAACCTGTCCCCTGCTGTCTTGTCTCATAGAAGAGACAGACATCAAACACACCACAAATAAGTGGACAATTACAAATATTTCACTTGTTTAGCCATTAAACGTTCCTAAGTGTCATTTGGATTGCTAAGATTCCTGCTTCTTCTCAGTTATCCACACTCAGGGCAAACCTTGCAGGGTCCAGCAGTCACACACAGCGTGCCACTACTGCAGCTGTGTCCCAGACGTGTCCCAGCCATTGCACTCAGGAAGACAACGAAGAGGCTTCCAAAGGGCTGGCCTTTCGGATTAAAAAGAAAAAGTTAAGCATTTTTTAAAAAGTCACAAATGAGTAACATGCTTGTTATAAAAATTTAAGCAATAAAGAAAAAAAAAGAAAGGAAAAAATCTTTCCTTTGTCCCCTCCAAGCCCACTTGGAAAAAGAAATAATGGGTAGATGTGTGTCCTTCCATCGAGCTGCATACTTAACTGCAGGCTCCAGGAGGGCAGGGATGGCACCTGCCTTACCCACGGCTGTGTCCCTGGTGGGTGCCCAGGAAATACTTGCTGAGTGAACTAATGCATAAGTAGTAATCACACATAGAGGCTCATAGATAGTTTTTTTTAAAGATTAAAAAGGGAATCATGCTACATATGTTTTTTTCTTGCACCTTCCTTGTTTTGACTTTTTTTTTTCACTCAAAAATCTGTCATGGAATCCTTCCATGTATTGGTTCCCAATTTATCCATTCCCCTTGTGATGGGCTGAATTGTATTATCCTCAAGAGCTACATTGAAGTCCTAATCCCGAGTCAGGCGCCATGGCTCACGCCTGTCATCCCCAGCACCCTGGGAAGTTGAGGTGGGTGGATGATTTGAGGTCAGGAGTTCGAGACCAGCCTGGATGACATGGTGAAATCCCATCTCTACTAAACAGACAAAAATTAGCTGGGCATGGTGCCCCTATAATACCATCTACTCAGGAGGCTGAGGCAGGAGACTCGCTTGAACCAGTCAGCCGAGATCATGCCACTGCATTCTAGCCTGGGCGACAGAGTGAGATCCTGTTTCAAAAAAAAAAAAAAAAAAAAAAAAAGAGGAAGAAGTCCTAATCCCTAGTACCTATGAACGTGACCTTATTTGGAAATAGGGTATTTGCAGATGTGATCAAGTTAAGATGAGGCCATGCTCGATTAGGGTGGGTCCTAATCCAATATAGCTGGTGCCCTTATAAAAAGAGGCAGAGAATGCAGCCATAAAAAAGAATGACTTTATGTCTTTTGCAGGGACATGGATGAAGCTGGAAGCCATCATTCTCAGCAAACTAACACAGGAACAGAAAACCAAACACTGCGTGTTCTCGCTTGTAAGTGGGAGTTGAACAACAAGAACACATGGACACAGGGAGGGGAACATCACACACCAGGGCCTGATGGGGGTTGAAGGGCAAGGGGAGTGACAGCATTAGGACAAATACCTAATGCATGTGGGGCTTAAAACCTAGGTGACAGGTTGATAGGTGCAGCAAACCACCATGGCACATATATACCTATGTAAGAAACTTGCACGTTCTGTACATGTATCCCGGAACTTAACATTTAAAAAGAGAGAGAGAGAGAAACAGAGACGCAGGGAGGATGTCACACAATGACAGAGGAAAGATTGGTGTGATGCAGCTGCAAGCCAAGAAGTGCTGAGGGCGGAGAGCTGCCTGTCAGAATCTAGAAGAGGCAAGGAAGGAGTTTTCCCAGAGCCCCGGAGGGAACAGAACCCTGCTGACACCTTGATTTGGGACTTCTGGTCTCCAGGTTGCAAGACAGTCCATTTCGGTTGTTTTAAGCCACTAGAAAGGAATCCCCGCCTCCTCAGATGTATTCAGGTTGCTTCCAGTGTTGAACTATCACAACAATGAAAACCGCTTCCGTGGACTGTTTGGAGAGGTGAGCCCTAGGAGTTTTTTTTTTTTCTCTTTTGAGAAAGGGTCTCACTCTGTTGCCCAGGCTGGAATGCAGTGGCGTAATCTTGGCTCACTGCAACCTCTGCCTCCTGGGTTCAAGCAATTCTTGTGCCTTAGCCACCTAAGTAGCTGGGACTAACAGGCGTGTGCCACCATGCTCGGCTAATTTTTGTATGTTTAGTAGAGACAGGGTTTTGCCATGTTGGCCAAGCTGGTCTTGAACTCCTGACCTAAAGTGATCTGCCTGCCTCGGCCTCCCAAAGTGCTGGGATTACAGGCATGAGCCACTGTATCCAGCCCCCCACTTTTTTTTGAGACTGGGTCTCACTCTGTTGCCCAGGCTGGGGTGCAGTGGTGTGATCATGATTCACTGCACCCTCAGCCTCCCACGCTCAAGGGTTCCTCCTACCTCAGCCTCCTGAGTAACTGGGACTACAGGTGCGTACCACCATGGCTGGCTAATTTTATATATATATATATATTTTTTTAAAGACAGGGTTTTGCCATGTTGCTGGTTTCGAACTCCTAGCCTCAAGTCATCCTCCCACCTTGGCCTCCCAAAGTGCTGGGATTATAGGTGTGAGCCACTATGCCTGGCCCTGAGTTTATTCTTGTCTCCAGGAAACCCGTGGAGTAATCATGGACTCTGGCCTTGGGGCCTTAGCATCAGCTCATAACCTTGGCAGCATTGCCAGTTAAAATATGTGACACTTGAGTCATATTTGGGACATACCTATGTTACAAAATTATTTGTTGTTTATTTGAAATTCCAGTGTAACAGGGCTTCTGCATTTTTCTTTGGTAAACCTGACAACCCTAAACCTCAGTCTCCGCCATTGTAATCCTGAGCAGCTGGGCTGTGAGTAGACTACACTATCCCAGAGAGAGCCTGAGGTTCGTGGTTTTCTGCCTGGTGACTGCTGGAGCACTGGAAGATCTCTCCTCTTCCTGGATCTCTGTCTCTTAGCATCCTGAATGTTCTCAGTGGGACCTGGATGTCCTGCGGCACCTGCCTCCCCCAACAGTGCCCAGCCAAGCCTCTCTTCAGCCCATCTCAGCAGCAATGTGCTCATTTGCTCCACCCCACCTTTGCTTTGGCAGTGCCTGTCCATCTCCCTCCAGCCTGCTCTCCCCCTGCCTACTTACCCCTACTGGGCTTAGGCGAGACAGATGTGGGCCTGGCCCGCAGGGGTCCGCAGGGCAGAACCAACTCATCAGCTCTAGGTGTGCTGAGTGGGACCGGAGAGGGAAGGGTGCCAGGTGAACTTGTGAAGACAGTGGGTAGTGCCTCCCAAACTTGCCCTATTTTAAAAATTGCCTAAGGGCTGGTTGGAAATGCTATTTCTGGTTGGAATCAGAGATCTCCTGGGGGGGAAATCACTGGTAGCTCAGGGAGCTGGCGGAGACTGGAGGCTTGGGGGTGGCCCCTGCAAGGAAGTGCTGTCCAAGCGGAGGTCTGAAGGCTCAGTAGGAGTCAGGCAGGTGAGGCTTTGGGGGGCAGGGCGGGGATCCAGGAGAGGAAAGAGCATAGCAAATGCTTCATTGGAGAAGAAGAGCCTGGCCTCTCTGAGGCCAGAGAAGAGGCCATTGTGGTTAGCGTGTGGAGAGAGTGAACAGAAAGGCGGGTTGAGCTTGGAGAAAGCGGGCGAAGCCACATCCGGACACACCTTGTTGGGCTGGTTAAGAATTCAGCCTAAAGCAATGGTAATGGCCTGGGGCAGGCACCAACTGAACCTTTTTCAAAGGCGAGTCCTGAGTTGCCTCCCTCCTCTGACGTTTGACTTCTGAAGGTGCCCATGTTGCCCCCATCCCACCCCCACCCCACCCCCAATCTGGCAAATAGCCGCTCACTCACCCGGCAGGGACTTTCCAGTAAGTCTGGTGGGGGCGGGGGACTAGGGGGACCGGGGGCTGTTGCTTGCGAGAAATGGGTGTGGGCATTCACCAATGGATTTAGAAAGTTTCCATATTAGACAAGTAACTTGAGAAAATACTGTTTTTGTTATTGAGAAGATGCTATAAATGTTCAAGTATGTGGTAGGCATACCACGCGTCCTTGTGTAATCCCCTCCCCTGAGTGTAGGCTGGACCTGGCGACTTGCTCCTAATGAGTAAAATATGGTAGAAGTGGCGGAATGTCACTTTTGAGATTAGACGATACAAAATTGGGACTCCCCTCCTGCTCACACTCTTCAAGACTTCTTTCTTACGTGTTCTGATGAAGCAGCTGCCACGTTGGGGGCTGCCCCATGGAGTGGCCAACGTGCTGAGGAAGAGAGGGCACAGGCAGTGAAGGGCATCGGGGCCTTGGATCCAACAGTCCACGAGGAACTGAATCCTGCCAGCAACCACTAGAGTGAGCTCGGTATCGGGTCCCCAGCTGACGACTCCAGCTCAGCTGACAGTTTGACTGCAGCCTGCAGAGGTGCTGAAGCGGAGGGCTCAGCTAAGCTGCACCTGGATCTGTGACCCACAGAGACTGAGATGATAAAAGTTGTTGTTTGAGGACACTGAGCTTTGGGGTACTTTAGGATGCGTCAAGAGGCAACTAGTACAAAGTATCATTTGGAGAAGACCAGCCGTACCTGTACCCTCCTTAAGCATACATTTGTACGAGTTGAAACCATGGTGGGTGCACTGATTTTGAAATCTTTTTTAAAAATCACTTTATCATTATGGGGGAGATAGCATTCATCAGGGTCCATGGTCTATGCATGTATCAGGGTCTGGTCAGAAAACAGAAACCACACCAGGTATCTTAACAAAATTGAATATGACGAATTAGATGGCTTAATAACGAGTATGGTGTGAAAGGTGAAAATCATCGATAACCAATCATCAAAATCACTCTCAGAAAATGTCATACATCATCAGGACCTGGGGCCTTGGAAACTCAAAAGCCAAGAATTACTGAGCTTATTGTTTTTGTTGCATTGAAGCTTCTCTTCTGTTCCTTTGGGGTGTCAGAGGCTGAGTTTATTTTGAATACGAACAGGGAGACCTCTCTCCTTGACAAGCGTGATTTGTTGAACTAGCTAGTTAGGTGGGAGTGTAGTGGTGATACACTGTGTAGTGGAAGCATCCTCCATGTTCCCATTCCCTGTCACAGTCATACAGCTGTGGATTTCCAGGCCTGATTGTCCATTGTGTTGATGTCCCAGTTTATTAAACCACTTCCTTATTGTGGTTCCCAGTTTTTGACCTTTAAAGAAAGATTTCAATGCACGCATGTATTCAGATAACACTTGGCTTCGTTTGGATAATTTCCTTGGAATAATTTCCCAGGAAAAGAGATTATTGGGTCAAAGGGGGAGGAAGAGCTTCGTGCCTTTTGCTAGTAATTGCTTTACTGCTTTCCAAAGGCACTAAACCAAACCAGCATCGACAGTTTATAGCGGATGAGGGGTCAGTTTCAGGGCACCAAGTTATTCACTCTTAGGAAATCGGCTTCCAGGTCCTTCATCAACCACCCAAAAGGGCCTGGAGATGTGAGAAGTGGAGTCCAGCACAGAGAATCCTAGGCTGAGAAGTAGGATGTCTGAAAGTCCAGCCTCGAGGCAGCAGAGTGAGCAGTTAACAGTAGGAACTATGGACAACAGGTCCTGAGTTCGAATTCTGCCTTCACCACTGAGTGACCCTGGGCAAGTTACTTAATTTTTCTGAGTCATTAGTTTTTTCATCTATAAAGCAGGAATTACAGCAACACTGAGACTTGCAGAGGTGAGAAGAAGATTAAACAAGTCATGACATGTGAAGTGCTTAGACCAGGGACTAGCACTTGGTAAATACCAAGAGAGCACTTGGTAAATTATTACCATTTCTGTTATTTAGACGGAGACTCCATCTCCATCAGCCCTGCTTCTCCCGTGGCTGACCACCTCCTCTTCTGGGTTTCCACGCGAGACCCCACCCTGGTTCTTCAGTTTTTCCTGGGATCTTCTCCTCTCTCTGAGACCAAGTTTAAGTAGCAGTCTTGGCTTTGAGATACTGAGTTTGATGGTCCTTGAATGCCCCCTTGTGGACGGCTGGCTCTCTTTCATGCTCAGCTAAAGAGGAAAACCGACCGTGTGTGTGTGCGTGTGTGTGCGCGCGCGCGTGTGTGTGTGCGCGTGTGTGTGTGCGCGCGCATGTGTGTGTGTGCGCGTGTGTGTGCGTGTGTGTGCGTGTGTGTGTGTGCGCGTGTGTCTTGGGGTGGGGAAGAAAGTGGAGGAGGCCTCCGTGTTTGCAGACAAAACAGGAAATAGCACGTCATGGCATCTTTCTTGCCGGCTAGGAAGGCATGGGTGTATGGGCCTCTGTATACTTACATAAACATGGAGGGGGGCTGCATGTGCTGGTGTGCATGTGTGTATGTGGGCATACACTTGATACCACTCTCCTTGTTATTGAGGCCTCTCACTGGGTTCTACTGAGATAATGTGATTAATGTGATTTGAAAAATGAAAGCCCTGTGCGCACACGAGGCCATTGTTATGTAGAATAGTGTGTATAACCATTTGGTTGATCCTTTCACTGATTTGGACATTCAGTCCCACAGTTGTTTATTGAGTACTTACTATGTACCGGGTCTCCTGAGGTCTGGGGAGGCTACAGTGACCAAGACAGAATCTGTTTCCATCCTCGCACAATCCAGTGGGTGAGACAGACAGGTGAGTAAACCTGTGGAGTGCTAGTCCTCAAGGACTAGCACTTGGCAAATATTCAGTAAATATGAAGAGTGAGTGTTATTACCATATTCCCAGAGGAGTGGCAGAGCTGCTGTGGAGGAGGAAGGAAGGCTGCCTGGAGGAGGTGACATCTGAGATGAGCTATGAACTGTGAGTGATCTATCCTCTCCCTGGCTTTGGGGCAGAGGGCTTGGCACAAAAAGCATTTGTAGGGTTTTAGAAGTGCAGGCTGTAATCCCAATTTCCTGAGCAAGTCCCTTTTTTTGGGGACTGGAGTTTCCTCCTGGACTAAGCCAGGGGATTTGGCCATGAAACCCACAGTTTCCATCAACTTTGATGTTTTCTGACCTTTTATTCCTTCAGCCTGAGGAATTCTCTTTTCTTCCACTCGTCTTTCATGCCCCATCCTCTTCCCTAAAGAGATGAAAACCAGACTGAGTGATAGAAAGCAGTGAGACGTTGGTATACACGTATAGGACACACACACACACACTCCACACACACTCACACACACGCAGTACTCCATTCCCCTTTCCCCTGCTCTGCTGGAAACTTCCAGCTGCCTCCCAGGTCAGAGGGGTCTGACAAGGGAGGGGTAGAGTGCGGAGGCAGAGTGGAGGTGAGAGCTCAGCAGACCCAGTTTCTTTTATGCTTGGCCACTCAGGCAGGTCACCTTGGGGAGGTTACTGAGCTTTTCCCAGAGCCTGCTTCCAGCTTAGCAAAGTACATATCCACCTGGCAGGGCTTCCGTGATTATTAAACTGCTATATGTGAAATGCCTCCCCCCACCCGCCCGCCGACTCTGTGTAGGACCTAGAAGGCTCTCGGAAAATGGGAGCTGAAAAGTAATGATATTACAAAATATCTAGTGCGGTGGCTCACACCTGTAATCCCAGTACTTTGGGAGGGTGAGGCGAGCGGATCACTTCAGGTCAGGAGTTCAAGACCAGCCTGGTCAACATGGTGAAACCCCATCTCTACTAAAAAAACGAAAAACTTAGCCAGCGTGGTGGTGGGGGCCTGTAATCCCAGCTACTTGGGAAGCTGAGGCAGGAGAATCGCTTGAATCCAGGAGGCTGAGGTTGCAGTGAGTCGAGATCGTGACACTGCACTCCAGCCTGGGTGACAGAATGAGATTTTGTCTCGGAAAAAAAAAAAATCTAGTGTGGGTCAGACTCTTGTCTCTGCAGGAGGGCAAGGTGTGATCTTTCTTCCACTCTGATCTTTTCAGTGACAATGGTCTGGGGAGGATAGCAGACATGTACCAAGCTCACTGTAGGTGGTGAGGCACTCTGGTTCCAGTTTAGAATGCAATTTATTACTTGGGCCACTTTGGCCAAGTTACTTAACCTTTCTAAGACTCAGTTTCCTCATCTATAAAACAGGCACTTTAAAATAGCTCCCTCATGGAGGTACTGTGAGGATTAACTGAGACAATGAATGTAAAAACACTTCATGTAATTCCTGGTATACCGTAAGTGCTCCACGAATTGATAGCTACCTGCATTGGTCAGGATATGCTAACTGGTGTAACAAATAGACCCAAGAATGTGTGATGGCTTAGAGACAATGGAAGCTTGTTTCTTGCCCCCCAATGGTCTAAGAAAATACCAGGTTAGCAGTGAGGCTCATCCAGAGACCAGGTTTCTGACAGCTCTGCCATTTTTTTTTTTCTGAGACGGAATCTTGCTCTGTCTCCCAGGCTGGAGTGCCGTGGTCCTATCTCGGCTCACTGCAACCTCCATTTCCTGGGTTCAAGTGGTTCTCCTGCCTCAGCCTCCCAAGTAGCTGGGACTACAGGTGTGTGCCACCATGCCTGGCTAATTAGCTCTGCCGTCTTTAACAGGTATCTTCCAGTATCACTTTGGCCATCGGCCTCTAGCTAGGGGGTGGGGAAGAGAGAGTGGAGAAGGCACATCAGTTTCTTAACTGCCTTGGCCCAGAAGTGCCACTTCAGCTCACGTTCCACGGGTGAGAACTAGTCACATGGCCCCATGTTAATGCCACGGGGGCTGGGAAATACAGTCCCTGGCTGGGCAGTGTCAGATCTCAGTGTCAACTCCATATGCTTTTCAGTGTCAACCCACGTGCTAGGCAAGGGGAAGCAGGAGTCTTTGGTGACAGAGATGTCTATTCCCATGATTGTTGTTGCTATTTCCATCCAAGACAGAGTGATAAGCACTGGATGGGGGGGTGAAAGCATAGTAGGAGTCTAAAAAGTGGGGCGATGGGGGCCCGAGCTGATTGGGGATCTAGCAGTGCTGCCCAGGGAAGACAGCGTCCAGGGGGCTTGGAGAGAGGCAGGAGTTCATAGGGTGGGATGGAGAGAGCAGGGAGTGAAGGTCACTGGGAGCTGAGGGAGTCACATGAACGGTCAAGAGGCAGGAAAATCCAGGCCGGGGGAGAGTCCAAAGCGGGAAGGGGTGGAGAGGTGTGCTGGCAGCCCACCCGGAAGGCCTGGAACGTCAAGATAAGGGTGTGGAGACGCGGAGTCACGCGTGGTCTCTCTGCAGCGTAGTCCAGGGCAGTGGGTGGTCATGGGATAGGAGTGCCAGGTGGGGAGGAGGATGTGAGGAGGGAGAAAGAGAAAGCGGGTAGGGGAGGAAAGTTTGGGGTTCACAGAGGAGAGGCTGGAATGTTCAGGAGGAAAGGGGGCTTGCCTGACCCCATGCTCATCCTTCTCCCTGAGGCTCTGCAGCTCCTCTGGGGCCCCAGTTGTCACCTGGCAGTCTCCTTCCTGGAGGTCCACCCGCTTGGGCCCCATTGCTCCATCACCCTCCACAGGGAGAGGCTTGATCTCCTCTTTCTGCTTTGTTCTCCTTCCAGGAAGGAAGTGGCTCCAGATGCCGTGGGTGGGACATTCCTTGGCTCTGCTTGCTGTTCCCAGATTTCTCATGATTCCCAGTGACAGAGCTGGCATCTCTAATCAGCCTCAGAGAGGGGCAGAGTCTTGCTCAAGAACACCCTGCACTCAGGAAGCCAGAGGCTCTTTTGAGCTGTCTCAGCCCTCTGAGTGCAAGACCCACCTCCGGAGAGATGCTCTGGCAAGGTGATTCCCTCCCAGCCCTGCTGGGCTCCTACTGTGTATCCCGCACTGTGACGGGCACCAGGAGACAAGATGGCTTCTACACTCAGGAGCTTACCATAGACTGGGGGAATGAGATATTACTCAGAGAACTATAAACCCTGGGAAGTACCCCCAAAGAGGCACAGACCTATGGGGAACCAAAGAAAGGAAGATTCATGTTAAAATATTACTGGGGGCCGGGACTGGTGGCTCACACCTGTAATCCCAGCATTTTGGGAGGCTGAGGCGGGTGGATCACCTAAGGCCAGGAGTTCGAGACCAGCCTGGCTAACATGGTGAAACCCCGTTTCTACTAAAAGTACAAAAATTAGCCGGGCATGGTGGTAGGCACTTGTAATCCCAGCTACTCAGGAAGCTGAGGCAGGAGAATTGCTTGAACGGGAGGCAGAGGTTGCAGTGAGCCGTGGAGGTTGCTGTGAGCTGAGACTGTGTCACTGCACTCCAGCCTGGGCGACAAGAGTGACACTCCATCTCAAAAAAAAAAAAAAAAATTACTGGGAGGAAGTGACATTTTGTGATGGTTCATGAAGAAGGCATAAGATTCTGACAGGTGAAGATGGCTGGGAAGTTATTTCAGGGAGAAGGGAGAGCCCATGCAAAGGTGGTAGAAGGAAGCCGGGTGTGGGGGCTATGCCTGTAATCCCAGCACCTTTGGAGGCTCAGGCAGGCGGATCACCTGAGGTCAGGAGTTCGAGATCAGCCTGACCAACATGATAAAGCCCTGTCTCTACTAAATACAAAAAATTAGCTAGGCATGGTGGCACATGCCTGTAATTCCAGCTACTTGGGAGGCTGAGGCAGAAGAATCGGGAGGCGGAGGTGGCAGTGAGCCGAGATTGCACCACTGCAGTCTAGCCTGGGCAATAAGAATGAAACTCCATCTCAAAAAACAAAAAAAAAAATCAAGTCAGGTTCACCTTTAAAGGGCCATGGTCCTGGAGGAAGTATCAGGCCAGAGTGGAGGGAGAGCCAGAAGCCTGGGCTTGCCTCTCAGCTTCTGACTGTGGGTCCTGGGCACATTGGTAAACCTCTCTGGGCCTTGGTTTCCTCAGTGTGGCGTGGAATAGCAGCACCCACTGCTCATGGCAAGTGGAGTAGCTGCCCTGGCTTATTTACAGTTGTGTTTAACAAATAGTTTTTCACTTGGAGTGGGTGGGGGCAGGGGAGAGGATCAGTGAATCGGTGCCACTGATGGTTTAGCCTGGAGGGGGGCAGTGGCTGCCTGTCCCTTTTCGTCTTGTGCCTGAAATGTTTGGGGGAAGAAGGTCAGTGGTGGTTGGAAGGATTACCCCCTTCTCAGGCCTAGCTGGCTTCGTCACCTGCCCTCCTGCTCACCTGGAGGGACGGTTGTGGGACTGAGGTCTGTGTCATTCTGGTCACTGTCATGTCATAAGCTGCTCCGATCAGGCTGGCAGGAGCTCTGCAGCACCAGAGGCTGTGGGCTTCTGGGAGTGGAATGTGAATGCCTGGGAGCCTGGCGGCCTTGGGCCCCATGCCCACACTGGCACAGCCACTCGGTCCAGAAGAGGGGCAGGAATCCAGGTCACCAGCCGGTGCAACACAGGCTGGCTTGCCGTCTCCCTTTCCTTTGGTTAATCTTCCCTATGAGGAGAGAGAGAGGAAGAGTCTACAGGATAGAGCTCATTTTGCCAGTTTTTCCCCCCAAAGTCCACTGGGAGGGACGTGTCTGAGCTGCCCACTTCCTTCGGCCAGCCTTGGAATGAGAGCACATGACTCATAGCCTCACTTCTCTAGACCTGGAAGGTAGTGGGAGAATCAGACAGATCTTGGTTCTAATCCTGGCTCTGCCACTTATTAACTGGGTAACCTTGTGCACGTTATTAACCTCTTCCAGCCTCAGTTTCCTTGACTGTAAAATGGGAATAATAGCACCAACTCATGGTGTTGTGAGAACTGGATGAGCTAATGGTTAGAGTTAGCATAGTGACCAACACATTTTGGAAGCCCTCAAATATTAGTTTTCTTCCTTCCTTTCTTCCTTCCTTCCTTCCCTCCTTCCTTCCTTCCTTCCTTCCTTCCTTCCTTCCTTCCTTCCTTCCTTCCTTCCCTCCCTCCCTCCCTCCCTCCCTCCCTCCTTCCTTCCTTCCTTCCATCTGGGGAATATCTGCCTTGAGGGCAGAGATCTGAGTTGAGAGAGCTGCAGGTAGATAGAGATGGCCTCCTTCCTCATAGAACCCCTCAGAATCACAGGCCAGAAGACTGGAGAACAACAGGAAATAGGCGATCTCCAAGCTTTGCACGCTGGCAGTACCCAATAGACGATGAGATTTATCTGAGGCACTACTATTGCTAAAAGGAATTTAGGGATCTGAGCCCCAGGTGCAGAACCCTAGCATACAGATGGGAGCGATTCCAGCACTCACCATCTCTGGGGAGAATCAGCTCTGGCACCCCTTGCCTTAGGGCCCAAGTGAGGCTGAGACAAGCAAGTGTGGCTAGGTACAGCAGCATGGGAGGGGGTGGAAATAGCTGGACTGGGCTTTTCCCCTCTGGAGGACCAGTATCTCCTATCAAAACTTAACAGTATGGATGTCCCAGCCACTCTCTGCCAGCCAATTGACAGTCAGCAGCTAATTCACACTAAAATGTTAACAGCAATAAGGGAATCAATGATATTCACACCCTAGGGGTGTTGAGAGCTGTTAATGGCGGTCAGGTTCTACACGTGGCCTTTCTAGCAGCACAACTCTCCTCTCTGAAGTGCCTGAAGCTCGGCTGGAGAGCTGACTGCTGCAGAATGCCGAGGCCCACGTTCTGGCTTTAGTCTGTGGCTGGGAATCCCACCCAGGGGACATAAGCCACGGTACAGGAGGCAGGCCGAACTGGAGTACAGGGTCACCTTGGTGACCACCGTCAGCTCCGAGAGCATGAGTGAGCCAGTTGGCCTTATAAGCTTAGGTCAGATAAGATGGGACCAAGCATGTGGCCCGCTGCCTACCACCGCCCCTTGCTTCGAGAAAGGCAGGGTCTGGAAGGCGGAGGAGAGGTGGCATCTGGGGCAGAGTAGGGCATGGAGGTCCTCTGTGCACAGAGGAGCAAAGCTGTTTCCCCCTGCTCTTCTTCAACGTGGGCAGCTAGAACCTAAACTTAGCACCACATCAACCTCATCTGACACGTGGCTGGAGGAATAAGGCAGTGGTGGCCATGGTGGGTTGGCTGCAGCCTCTCGTGGGCACAGCAGACCAGCTCTTTGGGCGTAATGTAGCTCTTAGGAGGCCTAGGCCCGGGCTGAACCCAGCGTGGGGGAGTAGGGAGTCTCAAACTTATTGGGCTAAAAATCAGCTGAGGGCATTGTTAAGATGCAGGTTCAGATTCCTTGGGTCTGGGGCCTGAGGCTTTGGTTTTTCACAAGCTCCTGGGTGGTGCTGAGGCTGCGGGTTCAGGTCACACTCTGAGCAGTGAGTGTGGATGCCTGCCTTAGTGACAGGCTCAGCAAAACACTTTCCTGGCTGTGACCTCGGTGTCCCTTCCGGCTCTGACACTTTGTGCATCTCCAAGACCGCAAGTTGAGGGGGTGGCTGGGGCGCGGAGCTCCTCCACTCAGTTGCCCCACTGGCGGAGGAAGGTGGCTGCCCTTTGATGGTGATGAAAAATAAGAACAGTTGCCAACCATTGAGAACTTACTTTGAGGACACCTCATCACTTGTATGTGGCAGAACATGGCCCTGAGATGTTTCTGACGCTCAGGGGACCCTGAGTTAGGAGAAAGTTTAGGGAGAGGAAGCACTGGTTTATTCGGGAATTATTCCCATCCCAGATCTTTCTGGCTCTTTTAAGGGTCAAGGGTCTTATCAATCCCTTTCTCGGTGCCCAGCACAATGCCAAGAGTTCAGGGGGAAAGCAGACGCCCCACAGAGACCTAGACCTTCCAGAGGCACTGTCCCTGGGCAGGGGAGGCAGGTCAAACCGGCGGTGCTCACCCAGGGAGGCTCCGGGAACTCAGGCCTCTGATCAACCGCAGATAAACACTGAACTTTCTACCTGAGGAAGCTCCCGGGCAGGGCTGGGTTCCTGTCAAGGAGACAGAGAAAGTTTCCATTGAGCGGGTGTGTGTGCATGCGTGCGTGTGTGTGTGAGTGCATGTGTGCAAGTGTATGCGTGTGAGTGCATGAGTCTGTGAATGCATGTGTGTGTGCATGTGTGTATGTGTGTGCATGTGTGTGTGTGTCTGTGTGCGTTTCTGTGTGTGCGCGTGCGCGCATGTGCCGAGGTGCTCTATTATCTTTTCCTCCCTGCAGAAAATCAGGTCAGTGGTTTGACTGTTGTTAACCGCAAGGTGGAGTGGGGAGGTGGCCTGAGCTGCTGAGGCTGGGCTAGAGTATGAGCGCTGGGGTCTGGGGCCACCAGGCTACGGGGCCCCCAGGAAGCAGTGGCAATGCCTGCCAATCTGGGGAGAGGGTGCTGCCTGCCATGTCCTGTTTCCCTCCCAGCATTACTCTCCCTTTCTTTGGGGCCTTGGTTGCCTGTCCTTGTAGATGCTGTTGAATAACCCAGGGACTGTGGCTGAAGAGAGGCAGTCACTATGCCCTGTGGCTCCGGACATGGTGGAGGGTGGGAGATGCGGGCGGGGCCCCCCATGGGTAGTAGTAACAACAGTCAGGCTTTGGCGGTAGCACTTTCACACTGGAGTCCTCACCTCGCCCACGGTGCCCTGGAAGCATGAGAGCAGGTGTTATTGTTGAGGGCAGTGAGAAAGAGAGAGAGGGGCCAAAGAGCTCATTCAAAGGCGTCCTGGTTCTCACCCTGGCCTCAGACTCCCCTTCTGGAGTCCCTGAGGGCCCCTAGGCCACCCCAAGGGGTTGGAGGAACACTTTGTCCATTCCCCCTGGCGGGTGGAAGGAGGCTGGAGCATGACAGCCGCAACCTGGGCCTCTGTTGGGTCCTTGGCTCTGGGTCTCTCACAGGTGGCTATCAAGGTGTCGGCTGGGGCCTTGGTCATCTCAAGGCTGGAGCAGGGAAGGACCTGCCTCCCCAGGCCCTAAGCTTGAATGGCGCTGGGGACAGGGGGCAGCACTCTTCTGGCACCGGCAGCCCCTCCTCCATCCTCTTGGCATCCTGTCCTTAAAGTTCATCATTGCCTCCTCTGCTAGTCTCCTCCCCCTCTTTTCACCTCCATCTCCCCAAGTCCTTCTGGCTCTGCTTTTGCTTCCACGGCTGTTTCCTCACGGAGGCTTAGACAATAGAGGCTAATGATCCAACTGCTGAGAGCACACCCTCCCCTAGCAGCCAGAAATCATCTGTTACCCAACGCCCGCCCTCCCTGGGGCCCAGGCTTCCAGACCGAGACCTTTTCCTTCCCTCCCACTTCTTACTGGAAATGAGCCCCATCCTTCCACGCCTCCCTACCCCCCAGACCTCCCCTAGGGAGGTTCAAGGACTCGCCTCTGACTCCACCTATCTACCGGGCACCCCTCTGTAGGGGGCAGGCAGGGGCTGGGGCCCACGGCCTCTGGAGGCCCTCTGGGAGCACAGCCTTGCCATGACCTCTCTAGGTCAGCTCAGCGCCCTGTGCTGGACGCAGACCCAGAGAACAGCTCAGCACGAGGTTACCAGGCTGACGTTGCACAGACTGTGCTGGAAATTACAGAGTGCCTTGGAGGGAAAAACAAACTGGGGTTTCAGTTCCCATGGAAACGACATCTATTTGCAGAGGTGCTTGCGTCAGAGCCCGGGACCCTGTGCTTGGCAGGGATGGGGTGGACATTAAAAGGCCGGGTCATCTGTTGACTGTCTGGGACTTTTCCAGGACAGTGTCTGAAAGGGGGCCCTTACCTTTAACCATGACAAACAGCTCTTCCCACAGAGGGGCCTGTCTGCCTGGGCATGTCTCTGCAACGCGGGGGTTTTTGGGTAGATTTTAAACTTATGAGTCAAGGGTGTGGAAAGACCCCGCATTCACCATTCATGAGCATTTATTCCACGAGCATGTTTTGACCTATGATGTGCCAGGCACTGGGCTAGGTCAGCCAATCAGGAGCTGGTCTGGACCTGCTAAGTTTGGGGCCTAAAGCCTCCCTTCCTGGGAGGAGCTTTGGTCAGACGGGTGAAGTGGGGACCTGCCAGGGACCACGTGACGTGGGAGCACACAGGCTCAGCAATGCCAGTCCCCTCACTTTGCAACCAAAGCAAATGCCTTCTGTCCCCGTGTGTCACAGAGGAGTAATTCCTCGTCTCACGGGGAAAGATGACCCCTAAACTCGCCGCTGAGGTCCCCACAGCAGAGGCGATTATTCCAGCTATTGCTTTGGGAGAGTGTCTCTTGTTACCCTCTCCATCACTTTACACTTCACAAAGAGGTCTACATCCACTACCTCATTTAACGTAACTCTCTAGGGAAGTTTTAACAACATCATACCCGTTTTCAAACGGGAAAACTGCATGGAGGGAGGAGAAGGCACTTGTCAAGGTCACACAAATGATAAACGGTGAAACCCGTATGGGAATCTGAACGCCAGACCCCCTGCTTTGCCCCCTCCTCCCTGTCCTGGGGCACCTGGTGACCAGACCTCCCACCCTGGCAGGCCTCCAACCAGCCCGGCTGTTTCCCACGCCTGGGGAATGGGAAGCAGCTGTGTGCTAGTGCGGTGGGGCGTGGATTATTCTGGATCTGGTCTCATGGAGGCTGCACATCAGAAAGACCACAGCCCCCGACTCTGCTGCTCACCCAAGTCACTTCACTCTTCTTTGCCTCAGTTTCCCTCTCAGTAAGTTGACAGAAAGCCTGTGCGGGGATCTGAGTGACTTATGCCCTATAAGAAATCTGATGAACTAGGCCGGACGCGGTGGCTCATGCCTGTAATCCCAGCACTTCGGGAGGCCCAGGCGGGCGGATCACGAGGTCAGGATTTCAAGACAAGCCTGGGCAATAAGGTGAAACCCTGTCTCTACTAAAAATACAAAAATTAGCTGGGCATGGTGGCAGGCGCCTGTAGTCCCAGCTACTTGGGAGGCTGAGGCAGGAGAATCGCTTGAACCTGGGAGGTGGAGGTTGCAGTGAGCTGAGATCACACCACTGCACTCCAGCCTGGTTGACAGAGTGAGACTCCATCTCAAAAAAAAAAAAAAAAAAGAAAGAAATCTGATGAAATAGTTTCTTGTTGGTGGCCACTTGGACGACGTTTCCTCTCTCTTGTGGATGACTCTAATTGGAATGGGGCACATTAGCACGCCCCTTAGGGCCCATTCATTTTTCTGAATCCCTCCTTAAGCATCTGGTATCACCTAACAGATTGATGGGATTTTCAGGGAAGGGACAGAGCCTGGGACAATTTTAAATAGGGAAGGTTAGGTGGGGCATGGTGGTTCACGCCTGTAATCCCAGCACTTTGGGAGGCCGAAGTGGGCGGATCACTAGAGGTCAGGAGTTTGAGACCAGCCTGGCCAACATGGTGAAACCCCCGTCTCTACTAAAAATACAAAGATTAGCTGGGCGTGGTGGTGCGTGCCTGTAATCCCAGCTACTCAGGAGGCTGAGGCAGGAGAGTCACTTGAACTTGGGAGGCAGAGGTTGCAGTGAGCCAGTGTACTCCAGCCTTAGTGAGAGAGCGAGACTCTGTCTCTAAATAAATAAGTAAACAAATAAGGAAGGTTAGGGTTGGGGGTGGAGAATAGAGGTTGTGGGTAAAGAATAGAGGAGGAGGCCGGGCGCAGTGGCTCACGCCTGTAATCCCAGTACTTTGGGAGGCCGGGGCGGGTGGATCACGAGGTCAGGAGATCGAGACCACCCTGGCTAACACGGTGAAACCTTGCCTCTACTAAAAATACAAAAAATTACCTGGGCATGGTGGCGGGCGCCTGTAGTCCCAGCTACTCAGGAGGCTGAGGCAGGAGAATGGCGTGAACCCGGGAGGCGGAGGTTGCGGTGAGCCGAGATCATGCCATTGCACTCCAGCCTGGGCAACGAGAGTGAAACTCCGTAAAAAAAAAAAAAAAAAAAAAAAAAAGAATAGAGGAGGAAGAAAAATTTCCAGGCCTTGGCGTCCTGCTTGGTTTGGTTTGGGTAGGGGGTGGGGCAGGATAAGGCTGCGGGATCCTGAAGGTCCCTGAAGGGCTGGTGGCCATGAATTACATCCGCCTCTGTGCTTGCACCTGGCTGGGAGGTGTGAAGTGAGAGGAGGAGAAGATGGGATATAAACGTGTTCCAAATGTCTGCTGTAATGAGGGGGTCTGGAGTTTCTGCCCGGAGAATCAGATTGCAGGCCTGATCAGGAGACGAGCTGTTGAACGCTGCAGGATTCCAGGAGGTGCTGTGTCTGTGTGTGCCTTGCCACCCTGTAATGTAGAATTTGCTATTCCATTTCACAAAGAAGAAGCTGAGGCCCAGAGTTACACGGCACGCCCAAGGCCGTGTAGCTAGTAAGAAGGGAGGTGGGCATCTTCTGACTGACTCTGAGGGCAGGACCGCGTGTGCTTTGTGGGGAGCACAGGTCCACTGTTCTTACTTCGTTGGGTTCAAGACCTTCTGAGCTCTTATGAGACCACTGCTGGGGCCAGCTCGCCTGGGGACTCAATTCCTGCCCCCACTCCCCACCCGTTCTTTCTTACCCTCTCTCTCCCTCTCCACCTCTGTCCCTGTCCCCTTTCCATCCATGCGTCCACCTCCCCAGCTCTCCCTTTCTTCTGATCCCAGCCGCTGAGTGGGGTGGGTGCACCCAGGGTCGAAGAGAGAGGTGGGAGACATGAACTTGCGGGTGGAGGACATGAACTTGTTTTCTCTCCAAACCCCTTCCCGGCACATTGTTCTGCTGTCCCCAATGTTAAGTCAATCGAATTGTGTCAGGAGGCTGCAGGGTGTAGGCTGCATGTTGTGGTGCTGCTTGTGAGTGTCTAAGCCCCTTCTGGGTATCAATGCGTGTGCTTTGGCGCATGCACATGGGGGGCTATTGCTGTTTGTGTGGGTGTTGCGTTTGTAGGATGCCTGTGTTTGTGCATCTGTGTGTATGTGTATAGTGGATGCACTCTTGTCTATAAAGGTAGGATTTTTTTTTTTTTTAAATTTTACTTTAAGTTCCAGGATACATGTGCAGAATGTGCAGGTTTGTAACA